AAAGTAAGTAAAGTAAGTAAAGTAAGTAAAGTAAGTAAGTAAGTACGTAAGTAAGTAAGTAAGTAAGTTTTATTTATAAAGCACTTTTCTTAGAAATAACTTCACAAAGTGCTGTACAATACAAAAATACATAATACAACAATATAATAAAAATATCATGGAGCCGTCCAGTATTTCCAACCCAAAAAAAGCGTATCAGCAACAACAATGAGCCAAATGGGAAAAAAGACAACAGTAAAAATAAAATTTACAGAAAAATGTAAATCAAACTTGGACCAGGGCAAGAGAAAACTTCAGCTACCACAACAGGCACTGGGTTCAACAACTTTAGCCAAAACGTCTAACTAAAAGCTTGTTTGAAATAGAAGGTTTTTAAGCCCTTTTTGAGTAATTCGACATCATTGATCCAGTATAACTCAAAGGGAAGGGCAGAGGATAGGGGCTGCAAACGAAAAAGCTCGGTCGCCACGGGTCCTATAGCGTGTTCAAGGAACGGCTAATAGATTTTGATCCTGAGAGCGCAAGCAGCGGACTGGATCYTATGTGGAGAGCATGTCCCTAACATAGGCAGGTGCCTGGCTCTAAATGTAAGAACCAGGATTTTAAACCGATTCCTAAAACAAACAGGTAGCCAATGAAGTTCTGATAGGATTGGAGTGATATGACTAGATTTAGATGTACGAGTTAAAAGTCTAGCTGCAGAAGTTGGAGACGATGTAGTTGCTTTTGATTCAAACATATAAACAGGCTGCAACTGTACAATAATCCAGGCGGCTAGAAACGAAAGCATGTATGACCATTTCCAGATCTGAGGCAGACATCATAGACCGAAGTTTGGAAATGTTGCGCAGCTGGAATCTATGATCTCTATTCTGTTCTTAATACGCACTACAAGACCCTGTAAAGACCGTCTACTCTACATTATGGCTGATTTGTGTATTTTGGAAGTTGTAACTGAGTCATTGTCCAGTGTGAAGAAGCCTTTCAACTGAATGGTTTCCCAATGTCACCTCTTTTTTGAACATATAGCATGTAGACAACATGTTCATCTTTAGTGAAACTAGTTTTGGTCTAATAAGTGATGAATGTCTGTTGTTGGATGTTATTGTTGCTCTAAATATAAAAGCATGCATTTTTGAAATGAGAATTTGACTTCACTCGTGTTTTATGACTTTCATTTTGTCTAAAATGTTGCACTTCCACCAGCCTGCAGAGACTGTACTGCCTATGAGAAGTTAAGTAAACTGTTGAATGTTGTTATAGATTCAGACTGGGGATGGAAACCCGATGGATGTGAAACACAAATTGACCAAAACAACATTACGTGCATCTGTGACCATGCCACACCTTTTTCTGTCCTGATGGTAATCCAACACACTTGCTTTGACTAACTTCCTGTTTATGATGCATTTACTTAAATCAACAACTGATAACTAATATATGCAAAATCACCAGCAGAAAATATTGACTCAATAAAAAAAGAACATGACAGGCAGAAATTAGCACCTTGAGCTATTACCTGATACATATTTTCCTTCATGGTTAATGTATACTGTATATTGTCCCTGTTTTAAATAAATAAAGTCATAACCTTTGAATGATCTTTATTCAAATCCACTGATAACATTAAGAAAATATTTAAAAAATGGAATTTTTTTCTGAAAATTTTGTTGGATTTATAAATGTGAACAGTTTGCCACTGTATATATTTTATTCCAGGTCAGAGAATCAATTTCAAAAACCCATTGGGAAATACTGTCCTACATCAGCTACATAGGCTGTGGTCTGTCAGCTTTCTTCACTGCTTTGTCACTCGTGATATATCTGTTTAGTCGGTAAGCTCACACAAAAGAAAGATCAGTAATGCATACAGTTGTTGTAGCAAATAGGTATATGCTATTACAATTACAAGGCGCATATTGTAAAAACAGAAAAGTAAGACATTTTAAACTGTGCCAATGGTATTTATCAACAACATAAAGATCCATCCTTATCATTTCTAGGAATTAGAAGGAATCAAATATTTGTTATCAAATTGATACATCAAATGTGATTCCAGCTCACACAAGCACAAAATAATACTTTGTTAGCATAACAATTAAACTGTAAGTTATGTATATATTTTTTTCTTTGCATAATGACAACTAATGTAAATGTCTACATTCTGTCTTGTGTGAGAATTACTGCACTCTTTGGCGTCCCCTGCTGGTGTAGGGGCAGCTGCTTAGTATGTTTCTCATGATAATCTAGATTATATTTCATCAGGCTGAAATATTATATGCTGATTTAAGCCAGTTTAAATGCACATGTTTAGGGTTAAATAATTCATTATGACTGAATGAACGTCCAGTTGTTGAAATCTAACTAATGTCTCAGATTGCGTGTAGTCTCATCATACCACATTGTAATGAATGTTTTTGTCTCTCTCTTTTAGAAATCATAAAATGGACTACTCCCTCTCTATTCATGTGTCTCTGAGCGGGGCCTTGTTTCTGCTCAATACAACCTTCCTGCTAACTGAGTGGGGGACCAGAATAAAGCCAGACTGGGTGTGTGAATTTGTTGCGGCACTCATGCATTACTCTCTGCTCTGCTGCTTCACCTGGATGGCTATAGAGGCGCTTCACCTCTATCTCCTGCTGATAAAGGTGTTCAACACCTACTACAAATGCTACATGCTCAAGCTGTCTCTTGCTGGATGGGGTGAGTGGTGCAGAACAGATG